GAAATATTATGATGTGTAAACTTGCGCAACTTTTCGCACTATATAATTTCCTGATGAGGGTGTGTTGGATGATCAATAAAGACACGATCAAGAACAATTCGTCGTCTAGTTCGTGATAAAGCAGATTCAATAAAAGTGGAAATATCATTGGTAAAGTTATCATTCCGAGCATCAATTTTAGCCTAAATAGAAGAGGCTTGAAATTCTTTTTCTTTAAGCAAAAGAAGACTTCAGAAAAGCAAAGTCATATTTTCTAGGGTTTGAAGTAAATTGGCAAAATTATCAATTCTTGCATCTCGAAGAAAAGGAGGAAAAGTAATAGGTGTAACAAAGATTTGTTTATAAAGGGATAAAATATTATTAAGACGTATATAATATGAAGACCACTTAGTTTCATAATACATAGAGTATGAGATAAGGGTCTTATAAAGAGAACGGATAGTTTTAGCCACTTTAGACAAAAATCTATATTATTGGCATAAACTATCCAAATCTTTAGGCTTCTTTGGAACATAGGTATTGCCCACAGTAACTGAAGGTAAGGTAGAATTAGCAGCTTTGATAATCCTGAAATGGAGATATTCACACTTCTGATTGAGAGGCCAAGCATCAAAAATGAGTGGATCAATTGAACATAATATATCCAAATTATCAGCAAAAACAGTTCACTGTTCAGTAGAAATAGAATCATATTTAAAAATACATCGAGTATTGCAACTGAGTTGACAAGCTCGTGCAGATTTAATAGCATCTGATAATAATGAAACATCAAAATATGTAATAATAGGGTTATGGTCAGAAATGTGTAAATCATGGGCATCAAAAATAGAAGCTGTTAACATATATTGGCGAAGAAGTAGACAAGACCAAACAAAGTCAATACGGTTAATAGTGTCCAGATGGTGATAAGTACCTAAGGTACCAGATAGGTTAAGGGGAGTGCAGTCCTCATAATTATGAGAAAGCAAATAGTGAAATAATTTGTGAATTCGTTTAGCAGCAACCTGAGGTTGATGCAAAAAAATAGGGTAATATTTCTCCAGATTCATATTAAAATCACCGCAAATAGCATGATGAAAATTTTGGGAAGAAGTTTGGGAAATTAAAGAAATTAATTGATCAATGACTTCATAACGAAGAATAAGATCATTTGTAGGGGGAATATAGACGACAAATATACGCAATTTAACATTGCCTTTAAAAAACAAGTCTACAGAAAGAATTCGAGAGGAATGGGATTGATAAAATTGAACATGAGTGGCTAGGGAGTTATGTATGAATAAAGAAACACCACCAGAAGAGTGGCCATGTTTGGTGGAATCCAGATCAGAATGAAAGGAAGTATAGTCACAAACTCGTTTAGACAAAAATTTCATTTGTTTAGGCGATAGATGAGTATCAACAATACCGCCAAAGGAGATGTGATTTTGTAAAAAGAAAGAGGAAATTTGGTCCATTTTAAAGGAACCTTGACCAGAAGTTTTAAGACCATTAACATTAAAGGAAGAAATGTTAAAAGAATTAGGAATGGGGGAAGTAGAGGAAGAGGAAGAAAATAAAGTATGAGATAAAGGATCATTAAAAATATCACTAAAATCAACGGGGTTGGGGGATTTCGCACGAAGGTATCATAATCTATATTATTGTTCATCATTAATGCACTATGATAAAAATTACGGGGTGAAAAGGAGATAACAAATTAATCAGACGAAGTCTTATTGACTAAGTCCGAGGAAGAGCCACCAGAGATGGAACTAATAAATCTTTCAATAGAGCCGGATAAGTGATCAAATTTGTTATCTAAAGATCGTTGAAAGGAATAAATTTCAGCACGTTCTTTATTAATAGTCGCTTCATCAGCAGTTTCAGGGATGGGGGAAGAAGAAATGGTAGAACGGGGAATAGGAACCGGTAGGGAAGGGAGAACCGGGCCAGAAATAGGCTTGTTCGAAATGGGCGGGTTAGATTGTGTTAGATAAGGGGGGTGCATTGGTGGTTATCAACAAGCATATGTGAAGAATTATTGAGATCAGGTGGGAGAATATCATCCTGTAGATGCCCAAAAATATGACGTTCCAGCCGAGACATCCTCTGATCAGCTAATTCAAGAGCATGAATTCTAGCACGTACATTAGCCATATCTTCTTGAAGGCTTTTAAGCACTGAAAGGATCTCTTGAACTTGGGAACAATTAGGATCCACCAAGGGAGGTTTGTGGCCAGACGAATTGGGAGTAGCAGTGTTATTACGTTGAGAAGTAGAAAAGGAAACTGAACGATTTTTGCCTTTACGCTCATTAGATCGAGGTCGTTGAGCAGATTGAGTAGAATTACAGAAATTAGAAGAATTAGGCGAAGAAGTATTATTGGTGGTATTCTGTTCAGCATTATTAGCTGAATGGTTACATTGTCGAGAATTAGAATGATCTTTGGATTGAGAACGGGAACGATGTCTACTGTGATTAGCAGAAGAATTATTATTATTAGATTGACCAATTTTGAAACGTTCTTTTAGGTGTGCGACAGGATTGCAAGTGCATGAGCGACCTCGAGAGTTGTTCAACGGGCATGCAGTAGGAGCGCAGCCAAGTTTGCCGCATCTATGGCAAAGCTTGTTCGTATTCTCTGGAAGTTCCCACTGGAGTCAATGACCTTGCAAGGTGATTGATTGTTCCATTGCGGTGTCTATCATTTGTTGCGATTTAAAAGTGATGTAAGCCCATCGTTTAGGTTTATAAGAATTAAGAGACAAGGGGATATTAACAGCCATAGCACCAACTGCGTGTACCAAGGGTGCTAAATGCACATCTTTTGTGTAAGGAGGGAGCTGATATAAAACAGCAACGAATTCACGTCACGATTTCTTTTGATCAAGGGTAAGGGAGCATGGTGTAATACGTAAACAAGTAGAATAACAATAGATCGCCCACTGTTTATCCATAAAATGTTGGATGGAGGAGACATCATCATAAACGATACGAGCTTGTTGGACTTTAGCATTAGCACGTGTATGAAGGCGACAGGATTGTATGTTACCATACTTTTTGAAAAGAGCAGTAATATCATCTTTCTTGATGAAGAACGGGATGTCGGTAACTTGGATAGCTCGAAGATCTTCATCGGTTCGGAGTTGCTGTAGGTCATGTAGGAAAAATCTGAGATCGGCAAGATCATCATGTTGGAGAGAAAGGCAGGCATCACGTTCAGTGGTCAAGTTAAAATGAATAACTAATCTTTTGAGGTCACCAGAACCAGACATGTGGGCACGGCCAGTGTAGGAGTGATAAGTTTCCAAAAGGAGATTCTTGACAGCGTCAATCATAGCCTGATTGGTAGGATATTTTTTGACAAATTCAGGGGAAATATTAGGCGCCGCAGCAGCCTGAAAATCACGCCTAAGAATGGAAATAGTGGGCGTGTCAAGGGGAAGAGGGGAAATATCATTGGTATCCATAATATCCTTATTAGGAGACGCGTCTAAAGGGGAAGTTTTATCGTCTTTTGGAGCATGCATGGACGCGTCAGTACTAGACGTGACAGAACCAGGCGCAGAAGGCGCAGTAGTATCTTTGGGAGGAGGAGACGAAAAATTGTCAGCATTATTTTGTTGAGGAGGAGTAGTATTGCTACCTCCAGCGTCAGCCGCTAAGTCAGCGACGTAGTCTTCTTCCATAGGATTTTCTGGGAGCGTACAGGTACGTTTGGAAGGGTTGTTTTTATTGTTTGTTTGTTCATTATCTGAGTTCAAAACGTCAGAGCCAGAGTCTTTATTTTTGTTTCGTTTGTCTTGTCGCTTGGCAGGTCCCCTGTTAGAATTATTGCCAGCTTTTTTATTACCTTTGGGAGGCATATTGATAGTAAAATAAGAGATGTGTTAATATGAAGAATAAAAATTTTTTCTGCGAAATTTTTGACCAAGGATCTACAAGAAAGAGTTGGCTAAGTTACATTTTTGACAGATTAGCCCATTTTTCAGAGGTTCAAAAAATCATTTTTTGTAAATATCTCGGCATCCAGTGGTCCAATATTGATGAACATTTTTTTAAATTGTAGAGCTAAATGAGGGCTACAAAATAAAAAAAGTTCATTAAAATTAAATTACTGGATGCTGAGATATTTACAAAAAACAATTTTTTGAGTTTCAGCAAAAAGGGATGTTTTTGGCCAAAAGTCCATTATGACCTTTATATTAGATATCCGGGGTTTTCTTTTATTATTGTATTTAATAGTATATATATATAGCTAATAAAAAAAGAATTATATATATATGTAATACTAGCATGTAGATTAAAAATAAGATGCAAATTAGATGTAATATTAATAGTAAAGACAAAAAAATGAAACTAAGTAATGTAAAACAAAATAAGAAAAATGCTGAAATAATAAGCTTCAAAGAAAGTTTTTAAAATAAATGGAATAATTTGGCATTTTATTGGATAAAATAGCAAATTTTTAGATGGATTTTGACAGTTATCTAGAGATTTTAGTTGTATTATTATTTGTAATAGTGATATAATTATATAGGTAGTAGGTTGATTTTCTTTGGAAAAGTAGTTATATTTCATAATACTTAGTTCTTATATATGTTTTGTTTTTCTTATTTATATAAGTTTAATATATGTAAATAAGTGTAATTATAATATAATAAGACTGCATCTATAATAAAATAAAAAAAACAAAATAAAAAATAAAAATAAATTTCTTTTTAAAAATATTTAATTTTGTTTGTTTTAAAAAGGCAAAAAGAAAAAGAAAAAATTAGAAAAGAAAAGAAAATACTTTAAAAAAACATTTTTTGTATAATAGTATTGATATAATTTATTAAGTTTGTACTTATTAATAATTGCAAATTGCAATTAGATATATTAGATATTGAATTTTATCAATAAGTATATTATTTATATATGTAATACAAAAAGGTTATAATCACATGATTTATAAGCTAGTAACTAATTTTCGCAAGTGCTTAATTACGGAGAAATAGGTTAAAACTACTCCTTGTATAATTTTGAATAAACTATAGTTTAAACATTTGAATAAACTTTATTGTAATTGTAAGTGAATTAATTATTATGGGCCAGACACATTCCTCTTCAGCGAATAATCAGGATCAAGATGGGGATGTTATAATGGTAGACGATTCAGAGAATAATATCGGAGATGCCAATAGTTTAGACTTTAATGGAACAACATACGCTTCAAGGAGAGTACGTACACAAGTCAGCCGGACCAGCTCTCAGGATCGGGCTCAGTTTACAACTTCTACGATTGAGCAAGCTCCCCAAAATGGTTCGCAAAGAGTTTTACGAATGACACCAGCGAGACGCAGAAGACAACAACTTTCTAGTTTATATTCTTTTTTTCCTTCTACAGGAACAACAACTCAAACTCAAACTCTTAGCAGACCCTTAAATCGACATCAAAGATTGCATCACAACACCATTGAGGATGTTTCATTTGCGCCTAGGCAAACCGATGCAATAGCGCCAAGTTTGTTAAGACGAAATCGAACTAGATCTTCAAGTTATAATGGACAAGAAACTTCGACAAATTCTGGTATAACGTTTAGTAATTCGGAATCAACTCATAATACTTTACCAACTTCAGAAACAATGTTTGATATTAGACGTCCTCGTTCGAGTTCAGTTGATGCTATAGTTAATGGCGATTTAGATGGTGATATGACGCGGCCAAATGTTCGCTTCTCTGATCGCTTACGCCGATCTAGCACTCACAGAGGATCTTCAACACGCCAATATTCTTCATCTATTTCTTTATCCAGTACATCATCCTCTAATTCAGGTTCTTCGACAGCTGGTACTCAAACAGATCCTTTGGCAGGGTCGCCACAACGTTCAAGAAGAAGAGTCACTCGCATTTCGGCGAGACGACTGTTTAATTTTGGTGGGCAAGATTCTGAAAGCAACAGCAGTAATAATAATAGTAATAATAATAATAGTAATAATAATGAAGACGATGCGGAAACTCATAATTTAGGGCGAGTTTTGTCTATTGCAGCAGCAGCTACTGCTGCATCTCTTGTTGCTAGTCAGGAAAATGCTGTAATTGAAGCTGAAAGAGCGGCAAATGAGGGGCACGATGGAAGTTTTGAAAGTTTTTTAGCTGCTCTTCAGAGGCGACGTCGTGAGGCTTCAAGTAGATCTACTAATCAATTAACGGCAGCTTCTTCGTCATCTGAGGAACGAGACTCTTCAATTGATAATAACACAACTGGCTCACAGCCATCGCAACCTATGTCATTTTTCCGTTTATTTCGCTTTGGTGGATCTCGTTCTTCTTTGACACAGCAAAATATCCCACCAGAAACTGGTGCAAATGTTACATCTTCAATACCTAATGTGACAAGTGATACTAGTTCAAGTAATACACCTCAAATGGTACCAGTTATTATTATTGGAATTAGAAGCGTCCAGCCAAGAGATGATTCGAATGGAAATTCACCATCATCACAAAATGTTGATAACTCTGCTAATCTTGAAAGTAGAAATAATTCAAGTAGATCATCAAGAACTCGGTCTTCTTCAACCTCAAGTCGTGCTTCTGTTAGATCTACTGCATCAACTGCTACCCAAACACCGCCTGCACGATCGTGGATTATCTATGTTTTAGGAGGTACCTATCCTGCTACTCATCCTATTCTTACCACACCATCATTATTTTCTGATAATCCTACTTATGAGGATATGATGTTATTATCATCTCTTATTGGACCTGCACGACCTCCAACCACGACACAAAGCGAGATTGATGCAAGTTTACCAATTGCATTATATAATGAAAGCATTGTTACAGATCTTTTAGGAAATGCAGAGAAGTGTCAAGTATGCTTGTGTGACTATATTGCTGACGAAGAAATTAGAGTACTAAATTGTCGCCATGGTTTCCACAAGGAATGTATTGATAAGGTCAGTTCGTTATACCGTTGGCTTTCGATTTCATTTTTCAGATTCCATCAATTTTTGCATGATATATATGTTACATTTTCGGGTGTTTTTTCTCCCTTTTCATATATGTATAAATTATTTTTGTAGTGGCTTACTGAAGGATCTAACAAGTGTCCTATTTGTCGTGGTGTTGGTGTACCACCTCGTGAATCAGATACAAATAATAGTGGTCCTATTCCAACAACTTCAGCGGGGTTAGATTCTATGGGACCTTTCTTTTAAGAACAGACTTATATGGTGATCTTTAATGGACTATGATAAATATATGATTATATTGGACATTTTGACTGTAGATCAATTTTATTATCAAGTTTTTGAATAGCTTGAAGATATTTTTTTCTTTAATTTCCTATTTTTATTGTGATAGCATGATATTTTTAGAAGATCATCATTTAGGTTAAATATTTGTAATATTTTCGTTTATTACCGTGTTTTAATCAACTTACATCAAAAAAAATTACTATTGAAATAGCGGAAATCAAAGTTCCTAAAGTTTATAAAAATTACATTTCGTTGTTTTTCAATTGTTATATAATTACTAAATTATACCTTAAAAATTATAAATTTATTGAATATTTTATTTGGACTTTTTTTAATCTTTTTATTGATTTAATTTTTCTGTAAATATGAAAATCATAAAATAAATTTTACATTACATTGTAAACCATTTTTATTTTTAAAAAAATATTTTACTATATTATTAAGCTTTAATTTTAAATATTTTTATATTTTATTTGTTTTTAAAAAATATTAGATTACCTTTTTATTATTATTTTTTTATAAAATTTAGTTTTAATTGAATTTTTTAAATAAGTGAATTTTAAATTTTTCTTTAGATTTTTGATTATTTCATATTAAATAATTTTCACCTTAATATTATAACTTTTTTATTCAAATATACTATAAATCTATGAAAAAGTTTAGAAAATAAATGTACTGTACTGTACCAGTACAGTTAGTACAGTACAGTAGAACAACTAGGCCTTATTAATTGCAATTTACTCACAATTCTAAGTTTCTGAAATTTTAGTGTTTTTACCCTTGGTTTTTTTTAAAAGAACTGAAATACTGGAATGTTGATCATTTGAACTGAAAATTTGATGTTATTTATATTACTAAAATTATATATTATATTTTATGTTAAGTATAATATATAATATAATACAATAGTAATACAATATATTTCAATATATTGTATTATACTAAAATTTTACTTTATATACCAACCTTATATAAATAATTTGTAATAAAATTAATGTATTGATTTTACGGGGTTTTTTTTCTACGCACCTGCACAAAATGCATGGGTGTATATAATTTTATTAATACTATTAAAAATTGAAATTTTGCGCATAGTTAAAATTTTAATAAAATTTTAAATTTTTTAATAAAAATTAAATAGTGCATATATATTTTTTGTGTGCATCCTTTCTAATCAATATAAAATATCAGTTTACATAAAAAATTGCATTATACAAATACATTCTGGCAACTGAAAAGAGCTAGGCTCAAATTTTTCTTTTCTTTCGATCAGGATTTGATCACAATTGTGATCTACGTTATTACAAACTACACTTGGTTTAAATTTTACTACCAACAATATTTGACTTAGTTGAAGTCTCTAAAGGCCCTTTAAATCTTGCATTTTCTGCTGGTCTTCCCTTAGGATGTCTAATTAAAAGATTTTTGATTTGATTATCATTTTCCTGATCAACAGTTAAATTTAAATGAATTCTTGTTTGAGATTGATTATTAATATCCCACCTTGATTGTTCTAATTCAAATGCTTTATGATTTTTATCAGCAATATATGTTTGAAGTAACTCAATAAATGATTCATCACAGGACTTGCAAGCAATCTGATTAGCTTGTTTAATTAGCTTTTGTATATTAGAATAATATAAATGCTGCTTACTAATTGAAACATACTGTTGCTTATTACTATTTATAGGAATAGAACTACTATTATTATCTGTAAGAAAGTCAGTTTCTAAACCATCAAATTTTAATGCAGGATAAAATAACTGGTTCTTGAGATTTGACTGAATAGTAGTAAATCATCGTGAATTAATAAAGCCTATGTGAAATTGAACCTGTGATATTCGTAACATTACACTAAAGTAATACCTACAAACTATATCACAAGTTACAAGAGATAGACACAAACATCTATATATTCCATTATTCAGTAAGATAACCAAATAGTTTATTCCAACTGAAGTTAAGTAATTAACACTCCAAATACTTTTTATAGATGATTGAACACAATTTTCTAAAAGTCTTTTAAATGTAATTTGCCAAATTTCTTGATTTTCAATAAAATCATTAGCAAATGTCCAATCCTAAACAATTACAATTGATTAGTATATTTGTATATAAAATACTATACATAATGTAATGAATATGCTTGAGATTGTTCATGATTTATATAGGATTGATCCAATATTTTGACATCATAATTAAATGCTAATTCCATTTCTTTATAGTGGATATTTTGGATTGATAAAGAAACAAAAGCTTTAAGCTCATCAATTACTTTAGTTGCTAAAAGCTTTTGAAACAATAGTTGCAGGCTGTATACATGAAAAATTATTTCTCTTATTTACATAATTTTCATTATTTTGTTCTTTTTCTAATCTTTCTTCAATTGCAAGAAATATATCCATAAGTGTATTATTTAAATTGAATAAAAGTTGTTTAAAAGCAGAATTAACTGATTTATAACATGATGTTGTTTGAATATCTGCTGTAAAAATATTAATACTGAATACACAAGCCTAAGAAGTTTTAGATGGATAAAGAACTTTCATAAGATAATTTGCTGTAGCTGGATACTTAATAAGTAAAGCAGACTAGCGATCTTTAAATATTTCCTGATCTAAACTGTTACGACATTTATAAAAATCTCTTTTAAATGGTTTAAATAATTCACCAAACTTAAATCTAAAACGTAAAGGTAAATTTTGTCCAATATGCCAAATGCAGTGTATATGAAATGCAGAAGGATATTTTAACTGAATAGCTATATCTATTCCAGAATCAGTATCTGTTACAAAAATTTTAGGTATTATTCCTATTGCATTTAACATGCACTGTAAAATCCAAGAATATGCATCTTTTATTTTTCAGTCTATTAGTGCTTGAGCCACAATTCGTGATTTCATATTGCTATCAATTGTAACAAAAAAAGAAAGTGCCAATTCATAATGATTTGTTTTTGCAGTATTATCATTAATAATTACATCACTAAATTAATACCAAACTTCAATTTGATTAGAAGTCATCCAAAAGATTTTTGTTAATGTATTTGTCTCATGATCCCAATCTTTAAAGATTATCCATTGAAGATGTACCAAAAGCTGTGATACATCATTACCTAATTGATCTTTAGTGTTTCGATATTTGTAAATTACCTTATAAAGATCTTGATTGTAAACTTTTCGATTATATTTTGCTTTCAGCATACACTTAATTTCTAAAGGTTTTAATTGACTATCCATTCAATATCCTTTAACATGGACTTTGTAAAAGCTTTATCAGCATTAAAACGGCATACTAAGGGATCTAAAACATATCCAAAATGCTCATTAAACAGTGTAGTAACAGAGATAATACCATTTGGATTATTTTTAATTGGCTGAAAGAGATTAACATGCCATTTGCAACCAGATCGATGTGTTTTTGATGGTTTAGCTTTATTTTTCTTTGTATCATTCTTGTATACTATCTCTTCATAGTAGCATAATCTTGTCTATTTTCTTCGTTTAGATTCTATTTTTTCTGACCTTCTTTTGCAAATATAAAACCCTTGCTTATGAGCCTATTTTTTAATATATTCAAATACAGCTTTTTAGATAAAAAATATTAACCCAACTTCTTAATGTTGAGTTCAATTCTGTATTATATGAAGTATTATTAAAATAATTTTCATTATTTTCATTGTTACTTGAATTACTGTCTTTAGAAATGTTTTTAAGAAATTCTTCAGTGAAAAGTTCATTATCAGAATTATCACTAGATATGGACTCAGTATCGCTCATTTTGTTTAAAAAATAAAGAAAAAGAAAGAAAAAAAGAAAAGAGTGAAGAGTGTTGTGAGAAAGAAAAAAGGGAAAGGATGAAGAGTATGAGAAAGAAAGATCAATATAAATTAAAATAGTTTAAAATAGTTTAAAAAAGTTTAATTGTATTTTAGTGTCATATGCATACAAAAAAAAATTATACAGAAATGCATAATATGCATTCTGTATAAAATCTAAATTAATAATAGATATACTTTTTACTGTCTAATTAGTATAGTTATATTTACTATAGTTGTGATGTATTGTGAAAAATAATCTAGAAAGTATTAATATAAATGTAATAATTTCTTTATTATTTTATTTATTATAAAAACTATACAACTTTATTTTTAATTAATGTTTATTTCTGTAATTTATTTATTTTCTTTTCTTTTATTGTAAATTTTTATATAAAAATTAATAAAAATAAAGGAACTATATTATATTTAAAATTGTTAAAATATGTCATTTAATTTTTCTTATTATTATTTATAAAGTATTTTTATTTATATAATCAAATAGAGTTTATATTAGTATTGACCAAAGTGAAATAATTTTACTTTTACTATAAGTCATATACAGTATACTATTAAAATAAAAATATTTGAACATTTTATTTTACAATATATTATAAAAGCAATTATAATAAATTAAATTTATGATAAATCAGGTTTAAATCTGCTATATTAAAATAATCAAAATATATCAGATTTTATTAGTAAATTATAATATTTTATAAGTTAGATTTGATTCTATATCAGTTATATCAAAAAAATTTTGATATATTAAATTTTTTTCAAATTTAATATTAATATATTTTTTTTAGCTAGTATTCTATATGAATCAATTCATAGTATGGGGTAAAAACATTTTTTGCAAATAATATTTGATCTAGCAGTCTAATTTCAATAATTTTTTTTATTTATTTTAATTAGAATAACAAGAATTATTAAAATTTTGAAACTTAAATTAAATTTAAATTGAATTTGAATTAAATTAAATTTGCAAAGAAAAAGTTTAATTTATATGGAATATTATTTTTAGTATACCTTTATATTATTATAATTTTTAAAAAAATACTTAATCTTAGTTAAAATTATTAATTTTAACTAATCATTTTATACTTTACTATTTTTTTTTTTTATTTTAATATTTTAATCAAAGTTTAAAAATAATTTTATATTTTATTATACAATCAACTTTCTTTATAGTTACTTTCATTATAATTATATTCTACTATATAGTCACACCAGTTGGAATTTATTATTAAAATCTATCCTATATATTCACAATCCATCCATAGTCACTATTAAAAATCTCATATTAAAAAGTACTATTTATAGTTACAGTTATATAAAGAATATAATAAATTGCTTATCATCTAATGATTATAGAAAGATATAATACAGCT